ACAGGCTCCGTCTCCTTTCAAGGGAGAGGTTCATCCAGAAATACTCCTCCAGTAGTGGGTCACAATATATCACTAGGAACAGGAAAATCCACTTGACCATAATGATGCTAATGTGTGGGGGGAGTGTAAGACCTTTTGAAAAGAAGCCCAGGTGGACTTTCTCTTCTCCAGCTGTATTGGTCCATTACTTGCTAACTACTGTCTGAGTTAAAGGATGAGGCACAGCTGTGGTTTTCTTAAAGCATGTTATTAACACTATCAGCATAACTGCTCGAACTCAAAAGGCATACTGTTGCTTAACTGTGGAAAAAAGCACCCTGTTTGTAATATTTTTTTCTCCAACACATAGTATAAGAAACGGAAAAGGAAAAGTCTTTTGAGACAATGGACTGAAAGTTGCCCATCAGTGAAATGTGTGATGGGAATCTGCTGAGGACAGCACAAAGCAGTGCTGCAGTCTAGCTCTTCACTTCGTTATGTCCCAGGTCAAAGGAAAATATAGGGATGAACTTGCGTCTGCTGGATAAAGTCATGTTGCAAATAAAGATAGGTCATGAAACCACCTGGTGACTCTGTCTCATGCTTTCAGGTTTCATTTTTTACATCATTAGGCATGCATGAGTTAGCATGCCATTTTGGGCTGGATAGACACTGTCATGCGTGACTGGTGCTTCAGAGCTCAACTGCAGCTCTGAGTGTAAACAAAACCCCATCCCAGGCAGAAGAGTTGCTAAGATGATGGTTCATTAGTGCAACTTTTTTGCTCCTGTATTTCTCCTTCATAAAGGAGACCTCTCATGTGCTCTGTGGCATGATCTCCTGCACAAGGAAAGAGTCAGTGATTAATACAGGAATTTAGTACTTCATACCCACCTCTGAAATATTTAAATGAGGAACAGATTTAGTACTTTATACCCACCTCTGAAATATTGAAATGAGAAAGCTCTCTGTGGTTATCTTTGAAAACATGCTGCCATGTTGTATGAGGACACCAATCTTCTCCTCCAAAATCAAATGATCCTAGAAAAAATGAGAAAGGTGGTGTGGAGGAACTACAGTCAATTCACTCTTTAAAGAATGTTTTTTTAGTTTGATGTTCCCTTACCAGTACCTGAACAGCGTATTCAGATAATAGCTGGATATAAATGCTAGATGTAATTGCTAGATAGAAATGCTGAGAAAGATTAATCAGCAAATTGTACTCTTAGGCTTGCCCAGACACACATTCTAAAAGGAAATTATTGCTATAAAACACTTTACACTTAATTCTTTGTGCTTTCAGGCTGCTTGACAAAATGAAAAATAAAATCAGTAAATAACCAAGAAGCCAGCTCACAAGGAAGCTCAGAAACAGGCTGCAATTGATGTTTTTAGCAGTCATTATATACCTGCAGATTACCCTCATTATCATCACCATCTCTGTAGTTGAGCTGGCTGTGAAACTGCTGTGGTTTCTTCCCTATTTGTTTCCAACAGTTGGAATAATTTTCTGTCATGGCTTTCTTATGGCAATCTTATGCTCCTTCAGTTCTTTCCTGGCCGCTCTTTTCCTTCAAGCAGCCTCAGTCTCAATGTCTCCTGTCATTGCACGGTACCCAATATAATGAGGAAGGTACAAGTGTGCGGCACTGCATCAGGCAGGACCTCTCCTGGTCAAATAGGTCCTCTCCTGGTTTCATGCAACCAGCAGGAGCTTGCCAGTCTGGCAGCTGCCACAGGCTATGGGCAGCGGCCAGCAGCTGCCAACATCTGGGCAGTTCACCTGCCCTTCTCCCAGGTTGCTTAGTGCAGCATGACCACCTAAGAAGCTGATGTGGAGGATATCAAGCTCAGTTGGGCCTCGCAGCTTATTATCAGGACAAAATACTGATGAGCATTGACTCCTGCATAGACAGTTGGTTATCAATGGTGTGGTCAGAGACTGCTCTAGTGCTAGGGAGCTGTGATGGTCTTTGCAGATGAAACATCACTGGACAAAGTCTCATCTTACCTTGGTTTAAGTTGACTAGAACTGTAAAGTTAGCAGCTGAATCCAGCCCAAAACTCACTGAAAATAAAGGACCATTTTTGCTTGGTTTTGTGAGGTTTTGGGGAACCTGCCCAGGCAAGGCAAAGGGCTAACAACTACCTGTCCCAGCATTTCCTGGCCCAGTGTTTAGCAGACCTTTAATGTTAAACTTGTAGATTGTTTCCAACTCTTGCACTCTTGCTTGACCCTAGCAAATTGCTTGAACCCAGCAACCTGCTTGAAAATCCTTTTTTTTTTTTTTTTTTTTTTTTTTAATATAACAAATGTCGTTTTATAAATGTCACTCAAATGTGTCCAATCCCTTACAATTTAAATAATGTAATCACACCATGACTGAAATGAAATATTTTTTCCATTGGAACGAATTATTGGGGAAAATTTTTGAATAGTTTAGAATGTTCATTTAGTAGGGTTAGATGCTAAATTTAACAGCTGGAATCAACTGAATTTTTTTACAGCAAAAGCAAGTGTTACATTAAATTTAACAAGTAGCATAGCGAAATCCTTTTATCTTGGGTTGCTAAATTGAATTTCTTTTACAGAAGATACTTTGTGGTTCTTCAGGAATCTGAAAACCACCAGCTTCTTAACTTGGTATCACAGAATGAGTTACATAAGTGTCTTGTACCAAGATAATGATATTCTGGGACCTTTTTTCATCTACTGGTAATCCCATACAGCCAGAAATGAGTGCAAAACTTTTGTGTTTTGTTATACCCACACCCCCTTTTTAAAATCTTTTTTTTTTTTTTTTTTTTTTTCTTCAAGTCAACAAAGTTTAGGTTTCTTGGAAGGAAACTCAGCATCCTGAGCCTAGTGATAAATATAAAAAGGCAAAAATTTGTAAAATTTGCAAAATGTAGCACATTTCCTTACCAAGATCCATGCATATATTGTCACAACACAAAATAGTTTTTATTCCTGCATCTTAGTCTTGGGCTGGGATATTCAAAAGGTAATAATCTCTTGAGTTAAGAAGCCATCTGCTCTGTTCTTCCTTCCTTCCTCGGCAACACAAGGCTCCAAAAGGAGGTCAAAAGATTATTCTTTTTTTTCGTTACTGTTAATCCAATTCTTGGGTGGAAATGGATGCTCTTTTTATTGAATCCATTTATTTAATTGCTGCTGCTGGAAAGCTATTTCATGGCCCACAAGATGTTAGAAAAGCTTGGATGTTTTCCTTTTTATTGGGGTTCAAGGTTTGCTCAGGGGAAGGATGGTGCACAAGTCTCCTGGAGACCTTGACTTACCGCTGCGCCCGTCCCGCTCGATGCACTCTGATACACGGGGGTGACAAAATGAGCACCCTCTCTCCTCACCTGTGTGGGACAGCTCAGCATCGTGCACCTTGCTATGGAGGATTTTTTCCTTGGCTTGGAATACCTGTGCCCTGTCTGTTATCAGCTGTCTCTCGTTAAAGCTGGGTTGCTCCTGCCTTACCTTCTGATTGCTCTGTGATGGGTGATTGCTGTCCTTCCAGGATGCTCAGCTTTACTGCTGAGAAACACCCCAAGACCCTCCACTTCTATGTCATGTTGACAGCCATGGAAAATCTTCCAATGTGAGTCTTTAAACTCCATTTGGGGTGGCACGGAGCTGAGTCAGATAAAAGTAATCTTCCTAACCTCCCTCTCTCCCCTCCCCAGTTATGAGCCTCTGTTACTTGTCTGCTTTTTGGACAGCCAGGCAGAGTAGAGCAATATTGCAGTGATGGCTGTAATCATAGAATTATGGAATGGTTAGAGTTGGAAGGGACCTTAAAAATCATCTAGTTCCAACCCTCCTGCCATGGGCAGGGACACCTCCCACTAGACGAGGTTGCTCAAACCCCATGGGATGGGGCATCCACAACTTCCCTGAGAAACCTGTTCCAGTGCCTCACCACCCTCACAGTAAAGAATTTCTTCCTAGTATCTAGTCTAAATCTAGGCTCTTTCAGGTTAAAACCGGTACCCCTTGTCCTGTCGCTCCACTCCCTGATAAAGAGTCCCTCCCCATCCTTCTTGTGGGCCCCCTTCAGGTACTGGAATTGCCTCAAATGACCCTGCTTTCACCCCCAAGCGCACGGTATTGGGGATTTTTCCCCTAAGAGTAATTTCCAAGCACAGCCCCTTAAGACTGAGCTGAAAAGCCTCGCTGAGAGATGGCTCTGCTGCCAGAGTGCCCACCCCTCCCTGCATGGCCACCCACTCCCTCTGTCTCGCTGATCAATTTTCCCCTCCTGAAAGCCAAGCGCTGCCTGCAGGTCCGCTCGGATTGATGCTGGTGAGGAAGCGAGGGAAAAGGAAAGGAAGAAAAGGTTTTGACTGCAGGCGCTGAAGGCAATTGTCATATTTTTTCCCTTTGAAACCCGAGTGGGAGTTGGCTGGGATCTGTCAAGCTGCGAGTTCTCACACGTATGGTAAATATTTAGGGACTGATTCACCGCTGAATCACTCTGTTATTTTTTTGGCTCTATTTGGAGGAACTCCTCCATCGCTGGGATAACGCCAGCCATCTGAGGTCCTCTCACCTTTTTATTTTAGCATCTCATGGTCTCGTGTGCCTGTCCTCACAGTCACCCCTCAGGACAGGGAGACGGTGTTGTCCCTGCTTGGCAGAGGGACTTGGAGGCACACGCTGGTCACAGGCACCAGAGTTCTTCTCTGACCCTAAATTCAAAACTGGCCAAAAGCTCCAGCCGTCAGCTGGTGAGATCCTGGTGTGAAGCTGAAGGGTCCACATCTAGCAGAAGGTGGTATATGTGCAGCATCACTGCCTGTCTCATGGGACTCGCCATGCTGTAGGTGACCCTCGGTGCGTGGTGGGTCATACAGCACCTCCTGCTGCTGTGTGGTAGTCATTTAATAGCTGTACTACTTGTCTCTCTATACCTGGGAGACCTTCTGAGGGGATGTGAGATGAGCACATTTCCCTTCAGGGATGACCACAGCCAGTATTTTCCACATAAATATCTCTGCTTTCATTGCAGGTGGAAGAGAGCATGATGGATGTATACGACCTTGTGTACGAGGAGGTGAGGAGGAATGCCTCCAGCTTCAGGAGGCATGAGCTGACTGCCATCCACGAAACGGTAAGTTTTCTTTCAGCCTTAGCAGAAAACCTTGCCCTGAGGTATCTTCTCAATGGTTTCAGCAGGCTGGGGCTGATGCCTGTGCGCTGGCTTGTGGATGCTGCAATGCCATTTTCCCTTGGGAACCAAATCCTCTAGCCTGCTGTGAAGTCAGCTCCTCCTTCCTAATCTTCCTTTCCGAGCTTTGACCAACCAGATTATCAACAGGAGGAAAGGGCCACCTACCTGAGCATCACTCTGGTGCGAGATCTTCAAAGCTTACATACTGTAGCTGGTATATATCTGATATATATATATGCGTATATTGTCTGTATTGGCAAGCCCTCTGCCATGCTCCCTATCTGTGGTATTCACTGAAGTGGATATACAACTTTCTGGTGTCCCTGGTCAGGTAGAGAGAGTGAGGAAATTCCACATTGTCCAGCAAAACTATTTGAACTTGATTATTTTCGTTTACCCTTGAGTTTATGGTTGAGTACTGGAGGTTACGTGGCCTCTTGCAATACTGGAGGCTGCAAGCAAGCTCCCCAAAATCACCAACCAGGACGCTGTTGGCACAGAGGACTTCTCTGTAGCAAGGGTAGTTGCCTGGAGCACAGGGAGGACACTTGCCCTCAAAGCCACTGGAGATAAGTGAGAGAGTCTCCCTGTGGTGGGCAACTCCCAAGTCCCCACTGAGTAAAAGGAGATGCTGTCTCCTTGCACAGCAGGGCCTGTTTGGGTAGCGAGTTCATGGCACACAGCAGGGCTGTATGGAAAGATCAGCTCCGCTCGCCTGTTTCCAATCACCTCCCATGCAACTCCCTTTATCCTTCTGTGTTTTCTTAAATCATTGTAACAAGTACTCCAAAGCTCTTTTCATCAGTGCTTCTCAAGCGCAGAAAAGAGCAAATGTTTCTTGTTGCAACAATGGTGGTGGCCCTCAGAGACATGACCAGGCATGGTGGTGCTTGCGCTGCAGTCTTGTGGAGCAGCCCACCTAGAGTCCCCCTTGGCAAGGAGAACCAGGCACAATATCCAGCTTGCTTATCACCAGTTGCTTATTTTAGCCACTTCAATTGGTGGAGAAACAGTCCTCCTACTCCTATTTTTTTCCCTTCTGCTAATGCTCCAAGCTGGCCAGTTCACCCTGGCTGTAGGAGAGCAGTTCCACAGGTGTTGCTGGGGACCCACCCCCCCAAGCCCACAATAAGCACCGGAAAGATGAGTCTGTGCATCCCTGGGTCTTCCAGAGCGGCCACTGCGAGAGCTGGGGTGGCCATGGAGGGGGGGCTTGGCCCCAGCCCCAGGCAGCAGTCCTGGAGGAGCTCAGGCAAGCTTGGGTCCAGATCCATCCACCTCCTCTGAATTTAACCTCTGCTGCCGCAGCTGTTGATGCATGCTTTGCTCCTTGCATCCCTGGCTGTAGAGCCCTGCCTGGGGCAGCAGGGAGGAGGGTGGCCCATCACCAGCACCTGCTGCCGCAGCAGTTGGGGGTGAGGGAACAGGCCTGGCCAGCAGCTGGCAGATGTCTCCCTCTCTTCCAGTTCCTCTGCTGTGGGAAGCAGTCTCCGTTTGGGGACACGGCCAACATCGAACACAAGACATGTCCATCCAGCCAGCTGCGTGATGCGGGACAGGTAAGGGAAAGGTTTCTCCCACCTCACAGTGGGGCTGTGCTGCTACTTGCTAACTGTTAAAATCTCACTGGTTTTTGAGTATTAATGAGACTAGTGGCTTTTTCTTAGTTTGGGGTTGCTATGGGTTGGGGTTTGTTTTGCTAGGGGGTTGTTGTTTCAATAAAGAGGCACCTCACCTGCTGGAGGAGCACCAGTGGATCAGCAGGTTTCAGAAACGCAGATGTGGTTTCCTTTCCACCTCTAAAAAGCCTTCAAAAATGCTTGCGTTTGCAGCCTCTCGCTTCCCTCCAGCTTCCTCCTCATTTCCTGCCTCTGCAGAGAGTGTGAGGTATCACAGGCATATGTCTGAGCTCCAGAGAACTGTTGGACTTCTCCACATGACACTAGTTTCTGAGGCTCAGAAGGTGTCCCACTAACAGCGAAGGTGGAGTTTGCTGTAATTCCTTTTTCCCAGGGCGTTAAATAGGTATTAAAATGAGAAACTCATGAAGCAGGGAGATGCCATCCAACAGCAGCATCATCCAGGACACTTCATTCCTCTTTGCAGTATCTCGGTGAGGCTGATGGAGTCTCACCAGCATTAGACTGCCTCTGTGCTGAGGCCACAATGTAGGCTTCATACTCTCTGAACAAATCTTTCATATGATTATTTTTCTTCCACTGGAGTAGCCAAATCAGCTGAAGTAGCTAAAGCCACCAGCATCAATATGCCGTCCCTAGGAAAAACAGAGCCATGTTGCTACAGCCATACGCAAATGTCGTTAGGCAAAGATGTCAAGCACTCAGAGGATCCCACAATGCACAGGCACGTGTCAGCCTGTGGGGCAGTGTTTCTAAGCCCTGCCTCCAGCAACGTCACATCTTGAAGCAGGGTTGAGCTCAGCTCAAAGAGCAGGAAGGTAGAGCCGAGCGAAACTGGGCACCCGTAGGGATGACTCCATATCACCCCTGGTCCTACCAATGGTTTGTGTTTCCGCCGGTGGCGAGCCCAGGGAGGTGGGTGGGAGGAGGCGTTTTGCAACCCAGGAAACCTCAGAGTTTGGTAATGGCACTACATTCACTCTTGGCTTTGAGGACTCTTACCTCACTCTGCAAATCACTTCATCAAGGGTATGCTCTTGCATTTTTGAAATGGCTCTCTTGGCTGACACCTCCTGCATTCTCGTGGGGCTGCTGGCATGCTTAAGGCTAATGTATATTAATGCTTGCAACACCTTGCGAAATTGAGCTGTTCATTAGTATCTCTGGGGAAGGTATTTAGCATTATGGTCTGCCCTCCTTTTCCATTTTTCATTTCCCTCTTTGCATTTTCCAGTGGGTGGAAAGGAAAAAGCTTGTGCATGCCCATGCTTACCTGTGTGCACACACATCCCCTCACAGCCCAAAATGCATCTTACCAAGAAAATCTTAGGCATATTGTAACAGCAGAAAAAAGGAGAGCTGCCCACAGAGCAGCCCAGCTGTGCCATGTTGTGTCTCTCTCTTGCCTCCCTTTCTATCTGGTGTTGTGGCATGGGCTGTTGGGGGGACTAAGCCCCTCACTGAGCTGCTCCCATACTGCAAAGGGTGTCTGTCTCTTCCCAGGACTGCCTGCAAGAGATCCGGGGCTTCCTGAAGAAGCACATGGACGACTTCTCCATCCTGCTGGGCATCACCATCGGCTTCACGGTAGCTATGTCTGTTCCTTCACATCTTGACCCTGAGAGACAGGCTTCTAAATTAGCCCCCAGAAGCTAGGATTTCAGATGAGTTTGAAGACTGGCAGCAGAGAAACCAGCGGTAGTAGACTCCATCATGGAAATTAAGAAAGGGCCAGGTCCAGTCTTGGCGAGGCTAATGGCTGGAGGGGTTTTCCTGCTCCCACACAGTTTTTCTGGCTGAATTAGACACGGCAGCTGGGAGCAGGGAGCAGAGGGGGTGAGCTGCAGCAGTGGTTGTGTTTCATCTGACCAGGCTTGCCCGCGCATCTTCTCCAGCAAGCGAGAGGCCATGTCGCCTGGCGCAGGGCTCGTCGATCTGGTGGGAAGCTGGCAGCAATTGTGGAAAAGGAGATGCAGTAGCAGCTCCACGTTTTAGGAAACTTGCTGCCTCTCCTTGCCCAGTCCTTGCTGGCTGCCTCCCAGCTCAGCCTGGGAAGTCCCCTTGTGTGGCCAGAGCTGGAAGGTCTTGAAAGCTACTGAGCACCAGCAGTGGAGCTGGAGAGCTGTGCAGAAAGGCAAGGTCTCATCCTATTAATGACCACTAATGAACCCGGTAAGGTGCATCTCAGGCAGCGGGTGAGTGAAGCACAGGCTTGAAAGGAGCAGCTGCAAAGAACAGGAGTAGAGCTTGTTGCCTGGACACCCAGACGCCGTCTTTGAAGAAGGATCCTGCAGAGGAGGGATAGGATCATCTTCGGAGGATGGCTTGGGTAGAAAGGGTCTGTACTGAATTTGTGAGTCTTATCTGGGGGAGGACAAAAGGGAAAAAATGAAATGCTGAGAGCAGCATGTGTTCTTCAGTGGTGATGGGGCTTGGTGGCTGCATGGAGACGGTACCTTCAGAGCTGGAGAGCACCGCTAATTAAAACAAGCCTGCTCGGATTCCCACCCACTGCTTGGCAGAGGTGTATCACTAATTACCTCTACATGAGGGCCCTGCATGTGTGGTGAAGCATGCCAGAAAAAAGTACATGCCAGGGGACTCATTTCTTCACCACAAAGTGAGGTTTGGTCTGCCGTGATAGCTCCATGCTGCTCCCCAGCTGGGGCAACCTTTCCTGACTGAATGTGTGTTTGGAGATTGTTTTACTACTTGTGTTTGCTGTGGCACAACTGTGGGTTAAAAGACTCTTCTCCATCTAAATAAAACCCAGAGGAGCACACACTTTTGTGTTTTATACTGTTGGTAGTAAATTAGGAAAGCCATCAGGCACTGCTATGGAGCTATAAATGTAAAATCACGTGTGAATAGTTGGTGTCATTTTCCAATTTTTCTCAGGTGGAGGAAGAATTTCACTGCAGCTATATTCAGACAAAAGCGGGAGAGTTTTTATTATATATATCTTTTTTTCACAGCTTGATGCTATAGCCAGAAAAGGCGGCTATCTTTGAAGCACGTGCGAGAGGAAGTCTCTCTGCACAGTTCACTATTGTGATGGCAGGATGCAAAGGAAGCATGCGAGGAGGGCTATAGCTGCTCTGATGTCATTGTCCCTCAGTCAACAACGCACACATGTCCCCAGATGAAGCTGCCAGCAAAGGCGCTTGCACGTTAAGGCAGACTTTTAGGAAAGAGCGTGTTGTTGCAGCCCTTGTTATCCTTCTCATAGCAGCCTTATCTGTGATATGTTGCCTGTGCAAATGCTAATGTGTGATATCCCAGGCAGACTGTCACAATATACTGTCCTCTGCATTCACAGCCGTGCACGTGCATGGGGTGGGGTTTGGGTTTTGTTAGGGTCTTTTTTGTTTTGTTGGGTTTTTTACTTCAAACAATACTGGAGGTTTGTTTTTTTTTCTCCCTGTGTTATCTTTACAAAGGGCTATTATTGTCAGTGAGATATGTTTGTTTGCATAGAGGAATGTTTTGTGGCAGGATTTTTAAATCTGAATTTCCTGGTTTCGTCTCATTTCTTGGTATTTTTTAGGAGCGAGTTTGAGCCATACTGTGCTAATTTCAATCAGATGCTTTAACCACATATTGAGGGGATTTTTTCTCCACTGTTGAAGCTGGTGTTCGCTATTTTACTGGAAAACAGCTCCCTTAAGAAAACTGTGACATCCTGATACATAAAGTCAGAAGTTCCAAGTGGACTATCAGGCAACATTTATGGTCACTTATTTGCACGGATGGAGCATCACAATCAGTTAGGTATTTAATTGTGTGCTGGTCTCATTTATCTTCTTTTAGGTTTATGGGATGATCCTGACTTCATTCCTCTGGTTCTCCATCCACTTCAGCAGCAACCTGGACCGGAAAGGCAAATACATCCTGCGAGAGAGGTAGAAACCTGCTGCCTGGGCATCCCTACCTGGTAGAACCATCTCTTGGCGCAGGAAGATGTCTGAAGTCACCCACAAAATCTCCAGGGAAGGCTTTGCATGGGGTCAAGTAGTGGGATATGTGTCATGTGTTTCCCCTTCCTGCACTATGAGCTGTCGTGCATTTCCAAGCTGGTCATGGCAGACGATGGTCTGCAGAGGAGCAGTCCCACACCTTCGTGGAAAATGGACAAGAACAGAAACATGCACCTGGGCTTGGAGATGCAGATTGACTCGCTGGGGGACGTATGGGCTGTAGCTCCACAAGCAGCACACAAAAAGCCCCTTGGGACAAAAATGGAGAGAAAAGCCCAGCAAAAATCATAGCGTTAAACCAAACTTCTCTTGTACTGCCATCTGAGCAGTTTCCTGTGACCCCCAAAGATGCAATGTTTCTAGGAAGGTGGCTTTGGATCACAGCCCAGGACTGATCTTTTGCTATCAGCAAATACATGGACACAAAGTGTGTCATTGCTGATAGGAGATATGCTTTCCTAGCTTGGACACTCGTAATGATTGACTTTGGGCATACTTCTGATCATGCTCAAGTATGTAGGCATCCAGCGACTGTCAACTGGTTTTCCCCGTTTTCAAATTTTGCCAGATTTACAGACCTTTTGGAGTAGATCAGGAAAAAATTCAGAGAGCAGTGCATGAGCTTTGAAGCAAATGACTAGCATAAGGACATATTCCTCCTTGCTAATGCAATACACCATTATTTTTTAATTCTTAGGATTTAGTCAGCCTCCTAGAGCGTGATGCCACACTGATCTCACAGGGGCTTGTTCCACTTCCAGTCTTAGCACGGTGTTTATCTGGCTTCACTAGCCCACTGCGCCGCTGTGCAATACAAAAGGACTTTGATATTACACATACACGCAGGACTGAAGTTTAAATCTGTAAGAGAACAGGACTGATCTCCAGCCAGGTCAAACAATACGAAGTCCAACTCCATGTCCTCTTTACATCACCTTATCAATAACAAACAGAAATGTAAAAAAGCTTCAATCAACTGAAGAACTCGGCTCAGTCTAGCTTGAACGACAGCTCCCTGGTGTGCTTTGCCCTCGTTGCAAGCAGGCAGAGCTGCTTCTGAGCTGAAACCTGTCATTGCAATAGATCTAGCACCTGCTGGAAAACCTGCTGTAAACTGTATGACGATGTGAAATGTCTGTTGAACCAATGACAGCTTTCACTCCTCTCCTTCGATGTGTCTTTTAGCCATGAAAAACAGTAAGTAACAATTGTTTATTGAGATAAATGTGGAAACCCCTGTGCTGATGTTCAGGATGGGTCCTGGCCCTCAGGCAGGGCCCGTTACACGTACAAGAACAGCAGTACAGCCTACAGCACCTGGTTAGCATTTTAACATGGCACAAACCTCTTGCATTGGAAAGAATTTTGTTTTGGGGGTGGAAAGGACTATCGCTCCTCATCCCGCTCCCTTGGAACCAGCAGAGCTTCACCATTGGCTTCACTGGAAGCTGGCTCAAGTTCAAACCACTCCAGAGTATGACTCAAGCTACCTCCCAGCAGTCACCAACACGCCTCAGTCTAACAGGGACTTAGTGGTGACGTGTACTTGCCAACATACCCACTTTGTAGCAGTGGAGAAAGATTCACTTATATGTGTATATGTACTATTAAATATCTTGCTCTCTGGAGAGAGACAATCTCCCTTGTGAGCTCCAGCTGCTATTGTCCAGGCCACTGCTATTGTTATTCCTCAGGCCAGCTGGCAGCTCGTGTGACTCATGGTTGCTTCAATAAAGATTAATTTCTTGCAAAAGGCCATCATTCCTTCTCTTTTTCTGCGGTGCATGAGGCTGCCTGCGTTGCTCGGGGGGTTGCGTCATGGAGAGCCCTCAGTCATTCTTTCAGTGCTGGGAAGAGACATTCCCTGGGCAGCTGGTGCTTGCCAGTCCCAGCAGCCAGCAAGCCTTCGGACCCAAGAAGGAGAGGATGGCATTGGTCTTTTAGAGGAAAAGGAGCTGCTCATCAGCCTCATCCTACCCTCGGCCAGCTGCTGGAGCAGCATGCAGGTACCACACGAGGAGTAATGCACGCAGGGCCAGGGCCAGGCTTAAGGACATGCTTAAGCAATAAAGACCAGAGTACTTATATGAAAGAAATCTCTATAGTTTCACTTTTTTAAACACTAAGTAGTCAGGTCTTGTCCACCTCTCTGTATTGGTTGGACAACTGATGATGTTCTGCTGTACCAAAAAACATTGGAGATCAAGCAAGTCAGTGGAGTCCCATGTTATCGGTGTGGGTTACCTGCTTAAGCCTCATCAACTAGTAGGAATCATCTCTCTTAAGACTGCTAAACCTATAGGCGCTTCTTCCTGGGTCAATTTTTAATATAAAGGAATGATTACGGACAGGGATAATATATATATATATATGTGACAAAGGAACCTGAAAGGCTATTGTATCTCCCTCCCCCAGCTCTTGTTTCCCTTGAATCACTTGTGATCATTGAAATTTCATCAGAAGAAGCAGGCACCTTTCCAGCATGGACCATATAGGTATGTGTCTGTGTAACTGCTGTTTTCATACCTCTGTAATGATTTCTGCTGCTTGTAGCAAGGATGAGAACATGACCTGCACCAAACCATCCCACAAGGGGATAATGCATCTGGAGAGTCATCATTTCTTCTTCCCAACAAGCAGCAGATTGGAAGCATGCAATTTCTTGTCCTGGGGAGCTGGAAGTTCCCTTTCTTCCTCTGAACACCAACCATGGGGTTTAGGGAATTTTTTTGGTACAAAGTACTCCAACAAACTATAATTACAAAAAAGCGAACTTTGTTCTGTATGTATGTGCTGGCCATCTCGTAATCTGTATTCCCATTTCACCCACTGCTGCAGTTCCCCTGCAAGAAGCAGCACCTTTAGTGAGCAGGGAGCAGAGCAGTGCCTGGCCAGACATGGTCTTCTAGCAGAGCTCGAGCTGTGTGTAGCAGTGTGGGCTCCTGCTGCCCTGGGATGGCATCCCGCTGTCATTTTCAGGATCAGGACAGAGTGTACCTTCGACTCCACAGTTTTTAGAAACCTGTTGCAGAAAAAGCACAGTGTTACCATTTGGTTTGCAGTCATAGAAATGGCAGCACCAGGCATGGCTGGATGGAAGCTGTGAATCATTGAGCAGGCTTTTTTACACCTGTGCCAACAAAAAATCCCTGTCCTGCAGTCAATGTGCTTGCAGTTACCAGTTCCTAATTTGCTGCTCACTAGGGACAAATTACAGCTCTTGTGCAACCAGAACAAAACCCCAGGAACTTATTTGTAAGTGCTGCCGAGATTTACCCGGTGTTGAGAAGAGCATGAGAGAGATTTTGTCAGGATAAGAGCATGGAGTTGAGCAGTGGGGATGCAAAGCCTGAAGCTGGTCCAGGAAACACCTGCGGACCCAGGGCCTGCACAAGGGGAAGCTGGTTGAAGCATGTCAGCACTCAGACTCTGGTGGGAAAGAAATCCTTATTTATGTAGGCATAGGCAAGAGCAAACAAAAATCAAAAATAAAGAGAGACCAAAGGTGCAAAGTTCAATATTTAATTGTGAATTGGCTCCAATTAATTGTCAAGTAAGCTCCAGCAATTATCAACTAGTTCCGCTAAGGTCACCAAATTGTAGTTTGGCTTCTCTATGGGTATGAGTTAGCTTGTGTTCATGTGTTACCCTTTTCCTTTTATTTTAGGTAAAACTGTAGCTCTATCTGAGAACGTGAGCAGAGGGAGCAACCTAAAGCCAGGCAATTACCTCCAGGGCTGGGGAACAGCAGCCCATGGCAGCTGCAAGAAGCCTTTTGGCTGTTCTCCATCCTTCGCTGCCCCCGCGCTGCTCAGGTCCTGCTCTGCCGGTAAAGACCATTAATTTCCCCTGAGGCTTTACATGGGGCTCACCATGTGCCCATGGGTGGCCTGACCACAGCTTGCTATCCAGCCAGGGGACCTTTCCCAGTGCCTGCTCCGAGGGCGGCAGATGCTGCTGTTCGATGTGTTTCTCAAGCACAGCTGCAGGTGATCAGGGAGCAGGTTTGCACAGCAGCCGAGGATGCCGAGGATGGGTTTTTCAGTACCCGGAAAAAAATATCTGAGGAGCTCCCAGCACTTGAGAAAAGCACAGGTCAAGCAATTTACTGACTCTCTAGAGGGATGTGGTGGTGATGAGAGTGGGAATCTTTCAGCCTCATGGTGCTCTGGCTTGGCTCCAAAATGTTTTGCTATTTCCTGCCCTTATTGACTCTGCGTTTGCCAGTTCCCACCGCCAGCAAAATACCACTTCCTCATGCAACAGCCCCTTTGTTGTCCCTAAATGGGGGACAACATTTGTAAGTGGTTCTTCATCCAGTGTCCAAAAAGCCAATTAACACACCAAGTTGAGATATTTGTCTTTATTTCAATTTTGCAGAATCAGGTGTCAGGCATTTAGCAACAGCCAGCACAGCATGCATTTCTGACAGTCCAATATTTATAGTGATAAGATACAGCTGATTGATGAGCTACAGTTTCTTTACCATCCCTCATCATACATATGCATTCAAGTTTATGTTTTAAACATTTTGGGAGATCCCCTTATTTAGCGTGCTCATTATTTACAAGGGGGTGCATGTTTTAGTATTATAATCTCCTAAGGTTCCTCTTGGACAGACTCTTATCTAGACTCCATTCCAAAGACTATGCATCTTGTCATCCTGTACTTAGACCAGAGACCAGGACTGTACTCTGTGAGCCTTCATCGCTTTCAGTAAGCTCTCAATGTGGTAATCCTTCTACAATTCAATTTCGTTGATGTAAGTTTTGGTTAATTGTTTCTACATCCAGTCCAGGTGGATATGCAAGGACACAATTAAGTTTAATTGTTTCTACATCTAGTCCAGGTGCAAAAAGGCCAATAAAGTTTGATTTCAGGAGTTCAGCTAAGGTTCAATCAAAGTTCTATTGCAATTTTATACAAAGCACTTATGTAACTTTTTAACCACGTTCTTTGCCATGCCACTCTGATTCACACCTGCAGCGAGCTCCTAGAGGAGATACTGCTGAGCAAGTCCTTCTAGAGCCTTGTAAGTTGGCAAATTTGGGTGGACCTTTGAAGTCTTGGGGAGGTAAGGAACCCATCCCCTGCCAAGGTAAAGCTGCATTTCTGAGTTGCAGACATATGAAATATTTTTCAAATAAATAGCTGGTAGACAATTTTTTTTTTTTAAACCATGTGCAAAAGCAATGCATTTACAAAAGCAGCTGGCTGTAATTTTTCTTTAGACATGCAGCCAGAGGTGGTAGATGCTCCACACAGCAGATCTCCGCCAGCGTAACTGAAGGCGGGTAAGGTCAGAAGCTGCTTTGAATACATGGTCAGATCACACATGCCCTAAAACTTTCACATGAAGTGTCGTTGCAGTTCTCTCTTTTAGTAAAATACTATATTGGGGTGAAAAGGGATTTTTTTGCTTAACTGTGTATTTCCTCTTCTGAAAGGCTGAGCAACCAGCAGTGAGCATCAACCCTGTCCACTGGGAGACGTAGCACCGGATGGGACGGTGAGGGAGAGCATGGGAGCGAGGAGGAGGAGCCCCAGAGCAGCCTCGGAGACTGTTTTGGAAAAACACATGTGGTTTGTGTTTTGCAGCTTTGGCCATAGCTGCCAAACCCATGACCAGTTGCAGGCCCGTCAGTGAGGCTGCTCCGCTCGCTGCCGTGCCGTTCCTCTCACCCCCAGCACAGATCCAGTGCTATCTTCAGTCGCCCACGTTTTGGGGGTCCATCAAACAAATTAATACCTGGAAGCAATCTGCATTTCTACCCCTGCCAGGAAAAAAAAATACCCTGTCTCTTTATCTGGAAGAGATACAGGGCGGTTGCTCAGCCTGTGGGGAATCGGCACATCTTGGGGAAAATACTTTCAGCTGAACCCAGAGGTGCCCACCCACAGCTCATAGCCTCCTGTCTACCAGATGCTATTCCCTTAGACTCCAGCAAGTGAAAAGGAAAGGTCCTTTCTGGCATTTTTGCCAGGAAGATGCATATCCCTGCGTTGCTCTCCCCGGAGTGGCTGGCAGCCAAGCCGGCCGGGTTGTTTATGTTGTCCCAAGGCAAGATCCCCCTTCTCTCCCCTCAGCATCACTGAGTGCTATTGTTTAACCCCCATGTGCACCAGCTTGCTCACGGACGTGCTCGCTTTCTTTTTAGCCCCGTTACATCAGCAATAAGCTATTTCAGTCTTTATTCACCTACTAATGAATTATACATTGATTATACAACAGAAGCTGTCTGCATCGATGGGCTGGGCTCCTGCTCTCCCACACGGGCCCTCACGAGGTGCAGCTCAGCCCTCTCTAATGCCCCGAGAAAAATGAATGTTCCCTTCCCGGGCTCGTGAGCAGCAGAGCATGAGCTGAGAAGAGGGACTGTCTGGGCTGGATGGGGAAATCCGCTCGGGTTTGCTGTCCCTCTGCCGCAGCTCTGGCAGGAGACAATGGTGTTCTTCCCCACTGCCTCCCCCCCCCCTTTCCTCCTCTTCTTTATATAACCTGACCCATCACCATAGATACGTTGACATAAATATTTAAAGATGGCAGAGAGACAGAGCACGCAGACGGGAACCATTTGTTGAGTTTATTAGAAACAGAAACTTCAGGCGCAGCTACAGGTCTCCTCTTGCCATATCCCCCCCCCAACGGCTGGGCGGCACACGTGGCCCCCCCCCCAGGC